AGTAGTAGTCGTAGTAGTAGTAGTAGTAGTAGTAGTAGTAGTAGTAGTAGTAGTAGTAGTAGTAGTAGTAGTAGTAGTACTAGTAGTAGTAGTAGTAGTAGTAGTGTAGTAGTAGTCAGTACTAGTAATGGTAGAAGTCGTAGTATAAGTTGTAGTAGAAGTAGTAGTAGTAGTAGTAGTAGTAGTAGTAGTAGTAGTAGTAGAAGTTGTCGTAGTCGTAGTGGTGGTCGTAGTAGTAGTAGTAGTCGTCGTCGTCGTCGTAGTCGTAGTAGTAGTAGTAGCAATAGTAGTAGTCGAAATATGATTAGTATGATTAGTGTTAGTATTATTCGTAGTAGTAGTAGTCGTCCTAGTCGTAGTCGTAGTCGTAGTCGTAGTAGTAGTAGTAGTAGTAGTCGTCGTAGTAGTAGTCGTAGTAGTAGTAGTAGTGGTAGTAGTAGTAGTGGTAGTAGTAGTAGTAGTAGTAGTAGTAATAGTAGTAGTAGTAGTAGTAGTAGTAGTAGTAGTAGTAGTAGTCGTAGTCGTAGTCGTAGTAGTATTACTAATAATCATAATCACACAGGGGGCCCCAAGGGGGCCGCACGAGGCCCCAAGAGGCCCCCAAGAGACCACCAGGAAGCCCCAAGAGGTCCGCAAGAGGCTCCCAAGGCGCTCCCAAGAGGCCCAAAACTGCCCTCCAGAAACCCCCGATCGCGTCCCGAAGGGACCCACGAAGCATCCCTGAGGACTCTGGCCCACAACCCCGGCATGGCCGTGGAACAGTAAGGGTCAAAACCCCCACGACAAACTCCAGAGCAACTACTTCACCCCCATGCCTGCTGCCGCAACGCCTCCAGAAAAAGACCACCGCCAAGCAGCGCCGCATGGGCCACGAACGCGCTGGCAAACGCCAGCGATGGCACAATACGGGCCGGTGGAATGAGCCAAGCGAGTAAATGAGAAACGAAGCCCCCTTTTGGCCCCAAATTCGCATTCGTGCACGAGGGATGCTGGAGGAGCAGCCAGAATGAGCCTAAGGACAAGCGAGCCCCTTCCGAATCCGAGGTGCTCCTGATTTCGGCGTCTTGGCTGTGCATTCTTCTCGAAGGAGTGCGACTGCCTCGTGCCAGTAAGGCAAGCCCAGACCAGACTGCACAAGGAACGAAGCTGTTTCTCAGGCCACGGCGAGTCTCAGCCACGAATGGGTTTCTAGAACCTACAGTACGGGCCCTTCCACAAGAAACCTTCCACAATAAACCCAACTCGCAGACCCCAGGACATCCACTGATTTTTGGTGTGGGAACGTCACGCCTTCCATCGGAGAACCATCGAAACCCACGAAACCAAGGGCACCCTGGAGGCAAGTCGGGTGCTTCTTGGCATGGGTCTCCACTGTACTTCAGCCAGCACCACCCAGGCCGGACGAAAGGGGAAGAGGGGGAATAGTAAAGAGGGAATGGCGAATCAGCTCGCGCAGCTGGTTGTCTCAGCACCTACCAGTGCCAGAGGCGCCCCGTATCGAGCATAGCGCCTGGCGGCGGGACCGAAACCAGCTGCACGCATCTCGTACCCGCCCACTTTCCCCAAACCCCCTTCGAAAGATTCTCGTCGCGTGGTTTTTTGGGCGGAAAGTCGGGACGACTCAGGCACCCGCGGAACGCTCTCGGCGAGCAGCAGCTGCTGGAAAGCTTCCCGAGGCCCGAGGCTGTAAAACCGCCGAGGGCTAATTAGCGAAAATGCCCGAAAGTCTCGAACCTCGAGCACATTGAGCAGGGACTGACCGTCCCGGCATTCCTAGAGACCTACCACGAAATATTTTTAGAACCCGGAAATGCTCTAAGAACAATATCAATTTTCTCTGAACATAAGCCCGATGTGCTAACACAAGACAGCCACAGCAAGAAATGTTCTAAGAACATTTCGTGCAAACCACAACAGGTTCTTAGAACATTCTTTGGTGGGCCTACAGTAGAAGCCTCCTAGATGGGGTCCGAGTAGATCGGGACGAAGGACCGCGCCGCATCGCCAATGCATCGCCGATGCATCGGCGATGCGGCGCGATCCTCCGACCCCATCTACTCCGATCCCATCCAGGAGGCATAGATATAGGCGAGCCAAGACGCTACGCCACTGCTCGAACCCCTGTCGTCGCATTTCCGCAAGCTCCGGCCGGCTCCCGCCGGGCGCCCGCGGGCAGAGCTGCCCTCGCTTCCCCTTTGCCGGCCGTGTGCCAAGAACGGCCGGCCCCGCTGGACTCGCCGACCGGCGAGGAGGCCCTCTCGGGAGCGCCCACCTCAGCACGAGGATCCTCAGAGCGTGTGCTCGTGGTGCATCCAATGGAAGTCATGTGGTGCAAGCGACGTTACTTCGAGCATCGTGCGAAGATCTGTCTGAATCAGTTGCGCACGCAGTTGCACACACAATGTAGCACAGGCGGGAGAGACGGGTTTGCAGCAAGGCTCCTCAAACTCCGCAGCCGTTTTTAGCCTCAGAGGCTCCGTACGGGGCCGTGTGTTGACGGGGCGGGCTCCCAGTTCGCCCAAACGGGCGGCCGCGCGAAAGGCTGGGAGGTGGCGCCGGGGCGCCGCTCATTCGTTCACTTCTCGATAAGTGTTCTGGACCCTCTTCCGCTCTTCCCTTTTCTGGCGGATGCTCTTGAATATCTCTTTTCCGGTACACCCGTGACGCTGTTCGGCTCCTAGGCGGGCTGCTTCACGTAGCCATCGCTTCTCATCAGTGTCTCGACGATGCCAGGACGGCATGTGTTGAGTCCAGGAGAAAGTCCTTGTGTGGAGGCCCTTCAGAACGACGCAGGCCGTGTAACGAGGGCCGAGAGGCAGGCGGCGTGCTCGGCGGAGCTGAGCGGGGCAAGCACACATTGGGCTAACGCACGTCCTGAGGACCACCGACCAGTACGGTCGGGACCTTTTGGATAGCGTGTCGCGGCGGCGGCCCTGGAGACACGCCATGCCCTACGAGCGGATAGCGTATCGCTCCGCTCCACGAGGCTGGAATCCAGGAAAAGGTCGCGACGTTGACGCTTGGGGCTTGGGAAGTGGATGGTTAGCGTGTCGCGCCGGAACCGGCGGCGCGACTCGCTGAGCCAAAACCGTAGACCTCGAGACATGGCGGAAGTGGCGAAGCACGGTCGGCGTGTTGCGAGATCCCGCGTCCCAAGACACAGCGCGCCAGACTGCTGCCCTGGCACCCGATCGCCAGGACATAGGAATCCTTCATTACAGAAGCACGAGCTCCACAGTAGTAGTAGTAGTAGTAGGAGGAGGAGGAGGAGGAGGAGCAGGGGGAGAGGAGGAGGAGGAGGAGGAGGAGGAGCAGGAGCAGGAGGAGGAGGGAGGAGGAGGAGGAGGAGGAGGAGGAGGAGGAGGAGGAGGAGGAGGAGGAGGAGGAGGAGAGGAGGAGGAGGAGGAGGAGGAGGAGAGGAGGAGGAGGAGGAGGAGGGGAGGGGGAGGAGGGAGAAGGAGGTGTAGGAGGAGGAGGGGGAGGAGAAGGAGGAGGAGGAGGAGGAGGGGGAGGAGGAGGAGGGGGAGGAGGAGGAGGAGGAGGAGGAGGAGGAGGAGGAGGAAGAGGAGGAGGAGGAGGTACAGTCATCGTGATGGCATGAGGAACGCTGAGTCGAATAGGGAACGAAAGGGGCTTTTCTGACCGCGGCGAGCCTCGGCCACGAATAGGCTGCACGACCTTCGTTCGTCTGTTTGGTCGTCGTCGTCGTCTTTTTCGTCGTCGTCGTTTTCGTCGTCGTCGTCTCCTCCCTCCTCCCTCCTCCCTCCACCCTCCTCCCTCCTCCCTAACAAACGGCCCGAAGACCAGAACCTCTCTTGAGCACAACATGGTCGGCATTTCGACTTCTTGACTGTGGGGGCAGGATCAGTCAGCACAGAAATGGGAAATCGGATCGGAGGCGCCTGTGCCTGGGCTCGGGCCGCATCGGCACGGAGTCGGAACCGAATCGGATGGATGCACAACAGCGGATTGCGAGCATCAGGCCACATCGGATCGTTCGAGTATCGGAATTGAGTCGGACCAGCTGGCCGAAATCGATGGCGAATCGGTTCGATCGGATCGAAATCGATCCTGAGGGGTGGGCGAGACCGCGGCAAGCTGCGGAGAGCAGGGGTGGAGAAGATACTGTCAAAACTTAGTAGTAATGATGTGCGATACAGAGGCAAGGGCCTTGGACGCCCATGCCGAGGCTCTTCGAGAGGGGCTGGCCATCGAAAGTGGCTAAGAATGAGCAGAAAAGGCAAGGATGCAAGGGTGCCCTTGGGAAGGTTGCCCATTCTTACCGTCGGTTTCAACTGTAGACGGCAACGGTGGCACCAAGGAGACCGGAGAGGTGGGGGCGCGGGATGGGACTGCGGGTGCATTGGCCTCCACAGCCCTGGCGGAAACTTCCCTGACCTCCCACGTTCTGAGGCGTCTGGTGGAGCCCAAGACCTCACGACCTTGTCTTTTCTCGGCGGCGAACGAGGGAGGGAAGTGAGAAAAGGACAAGGCCTTCTCAGAAGGCGGCGGGGCTTCTCAGAAGGCTCCTGGCCTTCTGAGAGGTTTGCTGCATCTCCGGCGAAGGCTTAGAAACCTTCTTAGAAGGCCGGGGGGGCTTCTGAGCCTTCTGAGAAGGCCCGCCCCCTCTCACTTCTCCCCCCGGGTTCGCCGCCGATGCTCGTATGAGTTTCCCGCCGTGGACTCGTCTCCGTGGGCCCCAAGATTTGACGCGGCGTTCTGGGGGACTGCGGTCGGGAACTTTTGGATAGCGCGTCGCCACGGCGTCCCCAGCGACACGATATGCCAGGCGAGCGGATAGCGTGTCGCTCCGCTGCGCGGGGCGGGGGGTTCGGAGAAGCTCGGGACGTCGACGCCTCGGGGCCGCGAAATGGATAGCGTGTCGCTGCAAACAGCGGAGCGACACGCTATCCCAAAATTCCCGACCGTAGGCTGGCCATCATCGTTCTTGTTTCAGAGCGCTGGAGGTCTGGGAACAGAGGAAGCTACGAGAAAGTCGCTGGGGTCCTTGTTCTTAAACTTGGTCCTGATGTCTGCGACAACCGACTCATTGAGATCACCGAGTTCGATCATGAAGTCGCAATTGGTTGCTCCTTCGAGGAAGAGGCTACCATCCCTCTCCCCTCTCACTTCGTCCCTCCCCTCCCTCCCCGTTCTTCTCTCCGTTCCCAATCCATTTCTTTCCCTCTTTCCCCCTTTTCCCCTCCTCCTCTTCCCTCCCTACCTACCTCCCATTACCTTCACGCTTCCCTGTTCCTTCCCTATACCCCTCCTCCCCATGTCCCCCTTCCTTCCCCCTAGCCCCCACCCCCAGCTCCCTATCCACAACCCTGCCTCGTTTCTTCCCCCCCTCCCCTCCATCCCATCCCTGCCGCCTCCCTCCCTCCCTCTCCTCTCCCTTCCCTCTCCTACCCCCCTCTCTCCACCCCTTCCCTTCCCCTGCTCCCTCTTCCCCTTCCCCCCGCCCACCCGCACCCCGTCCGTGCCTGCTTCCTGTCCTGGTCGCGTGGCCTGTTCGCGCTGCTCCCTCTTGCGCTTCACCCCTGCCTCCCCTCCTTTCGCACCTGCCTCCCCGGGGGTGCGCCGAGTCCGGCTCCCGGGCCATCCAAGCCGGCGCCCCGCGCCCCGCGATGTGTGACGCGCGGCTGTCGTCGCACCACTGCGAGGCCGCGGGGCCACCCTGCAGAAGGGCCGCTCTCTGGGAGGGGCCCCCGCGACGCGCGATCACCTTCGCGCCCCCTGGGGGGCGGCCCGCTCTCTTCGGACGCGGGCCATATGTCCAGCTCCCGCGCCTCTCCCCGAGGCGCCACGAGGAATGCGCGGCGCCAGCACCCCCCCTGGGTGGCGCGCGACGGGGCCCCCGGCCGCGGGGCCGCTCCGCCCGAGAAGCCCGCCCGAGGCCCGTGCTGCACACGCCAGCGTCGGAGGCCGTCGGATCCTCGGAGGCCTCCGGGAGCTCTGGGGAGGCCTCCCCGCGGGGGCCCCGTGCTGAGAAGAGGCGGAGGCAGGAGAGGGGCAGCCTTGGGTGATGGCCAGGTCGGGGATCTGTGGGAGCCAGCGGGTCTGACTCCGGGGCCGCTCCGGAGCGTGCCAAGAGCGCGGTGAGAGCGCCCTGGAAGGCTCTGGCGCGATCTCTGCACGTCGTTCAGTTCTCATCGTGCTCATGTCTAATTGTGCTCGTTTCTGATTGTTCCTGGCCCCCTAGGGGCCAGGAAGAGGCCCAGGATGGAACAATTAGAAATGGAAGGATTTTGCCCCCAAAAAATACAAGAACCTTCGACGAATTAGGAATGAAGCATGTGTACCCCCATCCCAGGCCTGCCAGTGGTCCTCCTCGCCCAGCTTTCGGGCCCTAGCTCTGGTCTCCAGCGGCCTTTCGGGACGAGCTGGGCACCTCCAGACGCCCCTCGGCGAGGCGCACCTGCTGGAGAGCCTCCCGAGGCTGGAACACCGCGGAGGATCGAGCCTCGAACCTGAAGGTGCTCCAGCCTTCCATTGTTCGGGACGGCCCTTCCACGGCCAAGCGAGCCAGACCTCTGGCGGCTCTGCAGCATCCCCCCCCCCTATGGCGGCCGGCCCTCCCGAGCCCAAACGCCTTCGGGAGGCCCGCCCCCAGGCCCCGAGGGCCCGCTCTGGGAATCCCACGCGCTGATCAACTGAGCCGTCCTTTCTTGGGCAAGCTGTCAGGCGGACGAGCACCTGTAGCGTCAGCAGTGCCTGCTCAAGCAGGCGCGCGCAAGACAGACGCCTCGAGCTCGGTCTCGAACACAGGCGAAGCAGGCAGGCAGCCAAGGGGGCTGGTACAAGCGCCCCCGATCCACGAAGTCACCAGGGATCGAAGGCCAACTGACACCGAGCCACCCTGCCGCTTCTCCCTCGTACAGCCATGATGGGCCGCTTTTCCGCAACCGCTACCATAGGTAGGACGGGGGAGAAGGGAGAACGGGGAGGTCCTCCTCCTCCTCCTCCACCTCCTCCTCCTCTTCCTCCATGTCTTGTCCTTATAAGCGTATCCTCCCTGTCGCACTCCGAGGCCAATCGGAAGGGCGGGCATGTCTGGCGTTTCGCCTGAAGCCATCTATAACCCTGAAGCTTAAACACGGCAGCCATTTTACAAATGGAGGGCGGGCCGCTTCCAAATTGTGGCTCTCGCATTCGCCCCGAGATCACTCGTTTAGAACATTACGAAAGCTTCACGTATGGAGGGTGGGCCGTTTTCAAAATGCGGCTATCGCCTTAGCATCTTAAGAACTTGTAAGAGCACCATGGATCGAGGGCGGGTGAGTTTCAACATGCGGCTATGGCCTTAGCGCCGCGCACATTCGTCTTAAAACATCATGAAAGTTTCACGGGTCCCCACTGGTAGCGTAGCAGAAATGGCGTTTTGAAGCGATTCAGGACTGTCACGGCGCAACAGATACGTCGATTCGCGGCGTTGACGTCCCAGGAATGGCGTCCTGGCACTGTTCAGGATTGCCGAAGCGCCATAGTCAAGTTGATTCGTTTTGTTGGAGTCCCGAGAAGTATGCTTTGACACGCTTCAGGATCTTCAAACATTGTCCCCCAGCGGGGCACTTCCCTGAGTGAAAATGAGCCCTTGCAGGGGCCTATGGAGAGGGAGCTTGGAGGGAGGGTTCATCCCAACATCGTTGATGAGTCTTGGGTTCCTCCTCCTCCTCCACCTCCTCGACTTCCTCCTCCTCCTCCTCCTCCTCCTCCTCCTCCTCCTCCTCCTCCTCCTCCTCCTCCTCCTCCTCCTCCTCCTCCTACCTATGCCAGCGGTGGTGGAAAATCGGCCCATCAAGCCAGCGTGCTACCGGCAGGAGCGCCACATGAGGTGCGAACGGGGCGCGCGCCTGGCAGCGGCGAGCCTCGGCCACGAACGGGCTCCCCGACCCAGATCCAAGGCAAGGGCCGAAAGCCAGAGCCCCCCCTGGGGTCCAGAGTGGTCCCCACTGGAGGCACCAACATTTGGAGTCCCGAAACGGTGCGGTGACAGACCGTGCGGTGACTTCGAAATCCCCCAAGACCTCACCGCACGGTCCGTCACCGCACGGTCTTGGGACCCTGGAGGCCCCTGTCGCCCGATATATCCTCGTGCGGCAGCAGCAGCGGCAGTCAAAGGTTTTTAGACTTGAGCCAACGTGCGAACCACGGTGCACTCACACTGTCCTGCGTATGCAACAGTACAAACGATAGTACACACACTACCGCAAATCAAGGGTATACGTCCACTAGCTAAACCTGTCGGTGAAAATATGGCACGCATTCACATGCCCTAAACTTTCTTGCAGGTTTAGAGGTCCCCTGTGGACGTCGCAAGCTCCTAAACGTCAGTGCACTGGCGCCTTCGCGCGCTGGTACGAAACAAGTGAGATGTTCTCCTTGATCTCACTGGAACACCTCTGTGGTGTCCGGCACCGGGGCAGGAGGTTGAGGACAGGAAGGGAAGAGGAGGGGAGAGCAACAACCACCACCACCGCTGCCGATCGAATCCTCGGAAAAGCTCGAGAAGAACTCACTCCAAGAAATCATCTCGGCCTGATTCAACTCCTTCCGTGAGGCGGCTTGGGAACGATTCTTCAGGCCTGGCTGCTCTCGTCTCCGCTCGACTTCTGACCCTTCGTCTATGAGGATCAATCTCCCGCTGGTCATGAGGTCGAACAGTGCCGCGTTACACTTGGTAACGTCATCCTTGGTCAACGAGTCGACTGGCATCCTACCGTGTGGTATCCAACGAACTCTACCTCTAGCACGTTCTAGAGCTTCACAGATTATAGCTAGGTCGATGGCCGTCCTTCTATCTTTTGCGCTAGCATATCCTTCCTTCATCATCGTGTCGTAAATAGACTTGGCATCTACGACGTGCACCTGTTTCTCTCTAGATCCCAGACGGCAGTCCCGGCGTAAAACAGTAGTGAACGGCCCGGATCCCCTATGATGGTCTCGAACATGGACATCATTAAAAATAACATCTCGGTATAAAATCTGAAGATATTCTACTTCTGCTACTGCGGCAGACAGGGCTTGTGTTTCCCCTGCTAACGTAGAGGGCACTTTCCTACGGAGCTTTGAGCTCCTCCAGCCGAGGATGGACGCCTTAACAGCCTTGTTATCTAGGATAGCTTGGTCACAAGCGAGAACCATCCATGCCCCTTGGGTAGGATCCTCGGGGAGGCCCTTCTCGTCTATCATATCCCCAGAAGCGCCCGCACCCCCTGCATCTGAAAATGATACGAAAGCCATTCTATCTGGGTCCAGCTTCCATACAGTAATGCCCCTGGATGCTGATGATCGCAAATGGCGAACGAGCTTATCGGCGATGATGATGTCTCTGGTGGTTGCCGCCTCCAGGCGACTTGCCAAAATACTCGCCACTCCGGCTGCCTCTGGACGAACCTCGCGCCCGAGCCAGTTGAACTTATACACCAGAGATCTCAAAGCACGGAACTCAGAGGGTTCAAGTGGAGCATCTTTGTGCGACAACCTACCTCGTGCCACGGACAACGGTCGCATCTCCTCCAATATATACTTTTCCATATCTACAGCAGCACGTTTGGGCCCGGTGGTGATTCGACGTCCTGCAAAGTCCACCGGTCCGGCACCACAGTCGCGGTATTTCCCGAACTTGAATCTCTCCAGTCGATCCCTGAGCCACTTGCGGTCCTCGGTCGTAGCACCCCCAATAAAGAAGTCGTCAACTTCTAGAAGCATCATGTTCCGAACACTGCCGTTTGGTCCATATCGTATCCACCAGCAGGGTTCTAACAGGGAGCGCGTAAAACCGTGACGCTCCAAGAAGCTGACGACCGTCTTTCTCCAGGCCATGGGAGCATCGTCAAGTCCGTAAACATTCACCTTTAAGAGAATCAAGGAACCTGGGGGAAGTCTGATTCCTTCGCAGGGTTCCACGAAGATTTGGCCCTGGGCGCGGGACATGGGGTCGGACTGACAGAACGCATTTTTAACATCGGCAATGTCGGCGAATAAACCCAGGTTCATGACCACCTGCAAAAACATCATGATACTCGACGTTTGCGGTGTTGGGGCATAGACCGCCAAAGCCCCTGAATCGGGGCCCCTGTGCCCA